CCAGCAGGTCAAGGATGCGGTGGCCGGGAGCGGCCACTGCACTCCAGTCTGGGCGACAGAGTGAGACTCCAACTCAAAAAAAAATAAAAATATAAAAAAAGACAAAAAGAGGCTGGGCATGGTGGCTCATGCCTATAATCCCAGCACTTTGGGAGGCGGAGGCGAGAGGATTGCTTGAGCCCACAGGTTGGAGACCAGCCTGGGTAACATGGCGAGACCTTGTTTCTGTAATAAATTTAAAAATTAGGCCAGGCACGGTGGCTCAGCCTGTAATTCCAGCACTTTGAGAGGCCGAGGCAAGAGACTGCCTAAGCCCAGGGGTTTAAGACCAGCCTGGGCAACTTGGCGAGACTTCATCTCTACAATAAAAAAATAGGCCGAGCATGGTAATGCACACCTGTAATTACAACTACTTAGAAGGCTGAGGTGAAAGGATCGCCTAAGCCCAGCAGGTCGAGGCAGTGGTAGCTGTGAGCATGCCACTACATTCCAGTCTGGGTGACAGAGTGAGAATTCAACGAAAAAAAACCATAAAAAATAAAAATAAAAATTAGCCAGGCATGGTGGTACATGCTTGTAGTTCCCAGCTACTTGGATGGCTGAGGGGGAAGGAACACCTGAGCCGAGCAGGTCGAGGCAGCGGTGGCCATGAGTGTGCCACTGCACTCCAGCCTGGGCAACAGAGTACGACTCTGACTCAATCACTCAATCACTCAATCAATCAATAAAAAAATAGATAGATAAGTAGGTAGGTAGGTAGACAGATACAAGATAGATATATAAATAGATGAATAATAAATAAATAAATAAAGGGCAAGAGCTGGGCACAGTGTCTCATGTCTGTAATCCCAGCATTCTGGGAAGCAGAGACAAGAGGACTGCCTAAGTCCATGGGTTCAAGAACAGCCTGGGCAATTTGGCAAGACCTTGTCTCTACAATAAATCAAAAAATTAGCTTGGTGGCAAATGGCTATAGTTCTATCTACTTGGAAGGCTAAGGCGGAAGAATGGCCTGAGTCAGCAGGCTTAGGCTACAATGGTCGTGAGCGTGCCACTGCACTCCAGCCTGGGCAACAGAGTTAGACTCCAACTCAAATAAATAAATAAATAAATGGCAAAAACAAACAGGTGAAATCCATTAATATCCTTATTTAACTCAAAATATTCAAAATAAATTATAAATTTTATTGAAATACTTTAGTAAATGAAAAAGACTAAAAAGAATATTTTATACTCAACAGTGGTTCTCAGTGAAGTCATTTTTCTCCTCCTTACTTGTATTTCAAATTTTCTACTTATTTAATATTTTAAATGCTTGAGACTAGCTTGTGCAACATGGTGAAACCCCCATTTCTACTACAAAAAAAAATCTTCTTATTCTATTTTATTTTTATTTTTTAATTTTTTTTTTGAGTTGGAGTCTCACTCTGTCGCCCAGACTGGAGTGCAGTGGCTGCTCCCGGCCACTGCAGCCTCGACCTGCTGGGCTCTGGCGATCCTTCCACCTCAGCCTTCCAAGTAGCTGGAATTACAGGC